TCCCCCCCGCGGGGCACAGAGGGGGTGAGACCTCTCCGTTGGAGGGGGTGGGGGATCGGTTGGAACTTCCCCCTCCCTCCCTTGGCCGGACACTGCCTGATGCTCCCTTTGGCTCCCTCTTGCCAGGCTTTAGCCAGGAGGGACCCGCGGGCAGCTCCACCATGTCGGACAGTGACCCGGGGGAGGAAGACGGCGCCACGTCCCCTGACCCCCTGCAGTCCAAGAGGAAGAGAAGGGGCAACCTGCCCAAGGAGTCTGTGAAGATCCTGCGGGACTGGCTGTACGAGCACCGTTTCAACGCCTACCCCTCGGAGCAGGAGAAGCTCAGCCTCTCAGGGCAGACCAGCCTCTCTGTGCTGCAGGTAGGAGCCAGCCCCCACCTGCTGGGGACACTGCTGCGAACAGTGCTGGGGCCACTGTCATGCTGCATGGGACGGGAGAACCCCACCAAGGCTCCCAAAGGACTTAGCACGCCGGGACCACTTGCCTCTGAAGGGCAGCGAGGAGGCAAGGGAGGGGATGTTGGGAAAGCAAAACCACCTGTATGACAGGTGGGAGACGTCTTTTGGGGAGACGTCTGAACCCCGGGGGACCAGCTTTATGGCAGTGCTGCAACACAGAATTTTGGCTGGCCAGAAGATGGAGTGAGAACTGGAGTGGGGACAGGCTGAACAATGCCTTATTATTAGTAAAAGCTGCAGAGGTAGGAGGGTTTTGGGGGGTGCTATTTTATGCTGTTCCCCTGGACACACCCAGCAGAGGCCAGGGTGACCATCCCCTGCGAACAGAGCTGGACAGGGGACAGTCCTGAGGCTGGGTGTGGCCAGGAGTTGGACTTGATGAGCCTCATGGGTTCCTTCCAACTCAGCACGTTCTATGATTTTCACCATCCCAGGAGGGAGAGGCTGGGCTGGGCTTTGAGCTCAGGTGCACTGTTAAGTACTGGCTGGCTCACCTGGCCCCAGTTAGAGTGGGAACATGTGCATCCCCAGTTGTATTAAGGGGAGCCCAGGTGGGGACTCCTGGGCAGGAGTCCCTTTGTCCTGCTCCTGGCTGATATTCTTCTTGTGGCACCATGATGGGAGCCCTGGCCAGCCCTGGGGGTGAGTAGTGCTTGTCCTTCCTGCTCTGGTGTGCTCCCTGCTTGTGGTTAGAGTGTCCAGGAGAGTTGCCTGCAGCTGCCTGTCCCTGTGCTCCATGCACAGCCCTGTGTGCTCTGAGCCCTGTTCTCCCTCTCCCAGCCTGGCAGGGGGGAAATGAACGGGGGCTTTGCTCAGTTCTGTGGTTCTAGGGATACAATGGAGTGCAGGGGAGCAGGCAAGGGCCAGTGGGTTTGCAGCTGGACTCCTGGAGCTTCCTCTGCACCTCTGGCTCCTGTCCCTGTGGCTCAGCAGAGTCCTAGTCAGCCAGCCCGGACACGGGAGTGCAGGCAGGGCTGTCTACTTTCCCTTTTCCTGGCCAGCAAGGCAAACTTGCTTATTCATTTTAATGTATTTCTGTAAGTGCTGGCTGTGCCACAGGTGTGTGTCAGGCAGCTGCTCCCAGGAGAGGCTGGAGCTCCTGGGAGGGCTCGAGGCAGAGTGATGGAGGAGCAGCAGTGGGTTTGCAGCTGTAAGAATCTGGGCTTGTCCTGTCCCAGGCAGGTATGGCAGTGCCTGGTGCACGGTGTTACCCCAGGGCTTGTGGCAGTGGGACTGGCACTGTCTGTGCCCTGAGCCCCATGGGACCCAAGAGGGGGTTGGCACATGTGTGGGCTATGCTGAGGTGTGGCCTTGCCATGTGCTGGCTACTGTTTGCCCCTGTGGACCACCACAGCCAGCATGTGCCCCTGAGGGGGCTGCCCTGTACCCCTGGGCAAAGGGTCCCAGTCTGGTGAAATTCCCAGGGCCAGCTGAGGACTGACACTGGGATTTCTGTCCATTTGAGGGGATGCAGTGGGATGCCGTGGGGAAGCTCCATCTGCTGTTGGGCTGAAGGAGTGGGACACCCCATGGTGGCTGTGGGGTTCAATCTGTTGGTGCTGATCTGACCTCTCCAAGAGCCCCTGGAGCACAGGGCTCTGCTGCAGCCGCTGGCCAATCCCCCCGGGTCTTTCTTTGTCCATCCCCCTGCCTGCTCCATTGTCCTGGGGAGCTGGAGCCAGGCACTGGCAGGGAGACTGGGAAGCCATGTGCCTCCTTTGAAGAAAATTGGGAGGTAAGAAAGTGGCACCTGCTCCCAATGAGGCTTCCCAGATAGCAGCTTTCCAAGCCTGTGCCCTACTGTGGGAATGGATGGGCTTTTCCTCCGTGTGGAGGGGATGCTGCTCTTGCAGTGGTAGGAGAACAGACACTGCTTAAAGGGACGGGGTGGCGTGGGCTGGTGGGATGGCTGTGGTTAAAAAGGGATGGCCGTGGTTAAAAAAACAATAAGATGCTTCAAAGCCGGAGCATAAGCCAGCTCCTGGGTGGGTGACACCATGTGGTGACACCAGTGGTTGTGTGTGCCCATCTCTGTGCTATGTTCCCCAATGAGAATTGAATGCTGGAAGGAGCATGGTGTGGGAGACAGGCAGGGTTTTAGGGAGTTCTCAGGTCAGGTTTTTTGTTGGCAGTGCAGCCCTCTGGCTGGGGATCACAGTGGTGGATGCTCGTGGGATCATAGGATCATGTCATGGAGACTCAGCTAAGGCTTGCAAGGGAGGAGGTTTGGAAGGAGAAAGGAAGTGAGACTGGTGCATTTGAGAGTTTTAATGACAAATATTGTCTTAAGGACAGAAAAAGGACAACTGAAATCTTGCTGTGATTGAAGCTGTGGCAAGTTCTCTCTCTTTGAGGGAAATATTTCCCATAGCTGTTGAGTTAGGAAAGATCAAACATTTTTCCCCCTGATTTATTCTATTCTGTTTTCTAGGAAGAAGGCAGTTATTTTAATGTAGCATTTTATATAAAGATGCTGAAACAATCCATGGCTGAGGCTGAATTCATGGCAGCTAGGTTCCAAAGAGCTACCAGAGGTGCAGCCTCTGTGGTGTGCAAATGTTTGGAAGAACCTTTGCCGTGAGCTGTGCCCCTGCTTGTGGGCAGGAGGCACGGGAAGGTGTCTGTGCAGCCACTGTCCTGGCCCCATTAGAGGGTGGGGGGCTGCAGCTCCATCAGCTGATAGTTTCTAGGGTTTCCATCCATGCAGCCTCAGTGTTCCTGTCCAGGTCGGCAGCACGTTGGCACTGGCATCAGTGTGGAAACAGTTGGGCGTGCCAAGCTCCTGGATGGGTCACCTGGAGAAGGAAGAACTGTACCCAGCCTGGGACCTGCAGGATGGGCTCCGAGCTGGCTCTGTGCAGTGCCAAGTCCTCTGGCTGGGGCGATGGCAGGAGCTGTGCCCGCTTCACCTGTCTGAACCTGGGCACAGGCAGGGGCCAGGACTCTGGGGCTGTGCTGTGGGGTCAGCACTGAGCCCATCCTTCCCTGGGGGGCAGCTCTGCTCAGGAGCCACTGCAGCTCCTGTGGCTCCCTGCAGTCATGCTGTGGCTTGCGGGGTGGCTGGGCCCCAAGGCTACTCAGGCTATGCTCACTCTGTGCTGCAATGGAGAGAAGGTGCCAGCAGTGCTGTGGGGGCACAGTCCCTGCAGGGTGGGCTGGCAGGGCTTGGGGGGAGCGTTGCACCACGGGCAGCTGGTACAGGGGTGCAGGGAGGAAGGGGCTGCCTAGGCTGGCGGTGCCAGGCAGGAAGCAGCTGGTGTTGGGGTTTCCGTGGGTGTCAGCAGTAGTTCTGCCTCTTTGGAGCCCCATGGGAAGGAGGTGCTGAGCTCGGGGGGGGACCTGTGGTAGGTGGGGTGTGTGGATGCTGTTTGCTGGATCTGGGGGAGCTGCTTCTGGCTTGACTTGGGGCTGCAACCCTCCAGCCAGCGCTGTGCCCGTGTGGCAGCCCCAGGCTGACCCCACAGTGTTCCTCTCTCCTCCCAGATCTGCAACTGGTTCATCAATGCCCGGAGGCGGCTGCTCCCGGACATGCTGCGCAAGGATGGGAAGGACCCCAACCAGTTCACCATCTCCCGCCGGGGGGGCAAAGCTGGCGACGTGGCTCTGCCGCGGGGGGCTGGCTCCGGGGTGCTGGTGGTCCCTCCCGTGGGGGCCTCCAAGGTGCTGTCGATGTCAGTGTGCCCGCAGGTACTGTGCCACCCGGCCCAGGCGCTGGCGGTGGTGAGCACCCACAGCCCTGAGTGGGAGAAGCCTCCTGGGCCACGAGCAGAGCTGGACCCTGTTCCCAAAGCACCAGTGGGTGCCACCAGCAGCACCCTGACCCTGCTAGCGCGGGCTGAGGCTGCCAGCCCCACCCCCGGACTCTTCAACACGCCACCCCCCACGCCCCCTGAGCTCTTCGGTGATGACTTCAGCAGCTTCCAGCTGCTGGTGGAGGTGGCTCTGCAGAAGGCAGCTGAGCTGGAGCGGCAGCGGCAGGGTGGGCAGCTGCCCCTGTCTCCCCACACTGAGCCCCCAGGAGCCTCCAAATAACCCCCGGGCCGGGTTCCGCAGGGCGCCCTTCCCTGGGGGTGCCTGACTCTCCCAGCCTCGTGCACCTCCGACCAGCCCATCCCAGAAGTGGACTCTGGCCTCCCGGGGGGCTCTGGTCTCTCTTGTCAGCCAAGGAGGGGAGAAGAAGGACTGTCCCATCACACCATCCTCCTGCTGGGAGATGTGCTGACCGCTGAGGGTGGTGCCCCAGGTGACAGTTGTGACCAGACCTTTGCAGCAGTGCTGACCTGTCCCTGCCACGCTGCCAGAGCTGTCACTATGGAGCTCCCCTGGAAAACCTGCTGAGTTCTTCCTCTCTCCTGCAAACAAGGGTCCAGCCAGCACCATTTTTTCAGGAGGAGAAAGAGAGAACCTATTTTTTTAAGTGTTGGTATCTATTTTAAGGACTATGGATGAAAAGCTTTTTTGTCTCCCAAATCTCTGATCCCTTCCCCCTTTTTTTTTTCCTTTTGTTTTGGGGGGCCCTTTCTGGTTCCTGGTCCTGACCAGGAGCCCTGCCTTGCCCAGGGAAGGGCAAAGTACAGATGAACTGGAAACCTGGAGTCTCTGGTATTTTATGACATGGAAAAAATGGGACCCTCCTCTTCCATTTTAGGGTGTTCTGGATGCTGTCAGTAGAAATCTCTGTGGTGTTGTTTAGCAAGTTTTGTTGAAACATTTTCCCTTTAATTGTGATTTATTACATGATTATTATTTTTTTTTCATCTGTAAGCATTTCCACAACTTCCCCATGTTTCCCTTGAGTTCCTGCTGAATGTGCGCACGTTGTGTCCAGAGCAGCAAGTGCATTGCCGAGCCTGCGAGGTGCTGACAGCAGGCTGAGCAAAGCTGAGACTGGGAATTTTATACCAACTTCTTTTTCTTCTCTTTCTTTTTTTTTTTTAACCTTTGGAAAGGGGCATGTTGCGGGCATGGCCAGTGCATTTGGTGAGTGCAGCCCAGGGCTCCTGTGAGACCTCATAGCCAAGTGCTGATGAGCTGCACTTGGAAAGCTGAGGATGGATTTGCTGCTCCCTGTCCCCTCCCTTCTGTTCTCGCTCTCCGAGTGTGGCTGTCCCGTGCTGGGGACCTCTAGTGACAAACTGGTGTCTGCTGGGAGCTGCTGGGCCCCCCCAGCCTGGCCTGGGGTGGTTTTGGGGCTCTGGGGCAGCTCTTGGCTGGGCATCTCTTGTTGTCCCTGGGTGCTGTGCTGGTTCCAGGGCCCAGGCATTGCTGGTTCCTTTAAGATGTAAGTTAATAGTGCTGTGTATGCACTGTGCTACCTGTCCTGAGAAGCACTAATCACAGGTAATTAGCCTGATGAGTCGCATGACTAGAGCTGAAAAGGGCTGCAGGACCTGGTGCTATGCAGTGTCTGGAGCCAGCGGTGTTGGGGGAGCAGCACTAGGGGTGATGGAGCTGGAAGGGAAAAGCACTGATTTGGGGGACTGGTGTTCCCACCCCCCCTTTCTTCAGAAAGAAGGTGCCAAGGGAGAGGGGATCCCCAGTGCTGGTGGGGGCTGTTGAAAGGCTTCCCAAGGTGTGTCACCTTGGCCACATGCAGTGCTAGGATGGCTCTGGCTCCAGCACTGGGCAGAGGGCACCACGTCAGGTGAGTGGTGCCCATTGTGTGCCTGTGGCCATCCCTTTCCTCACCACCAGCCTTTGCCCTCTGTCTCTTTTCTGGGGAAAGCCCTGAATTTTGACTCCCTCCCTTGTTTCACCCCCCTGCAGCCCTGTCCCTCCACCCAGGGAGGGAGAGGCTTTTTGGCCTCCTCCCCCTGATCTTGCCCCAGTCAAACCAAAATGGTTTCCTTCCCCCAGGGCTGTGCCTGTGCCAGGGGCTGGTGCTGCTGCTGTGGGATGGACCAGGAAGAGTGGTGAGGGCAGGGATTATTGGAATGAAATTATGGAGGAAAAAAACCCCTACTGTAAATATCTTTTTCTTTGTTTTTCTGTTGTCAAATAAAAGGTTTTTAGTTTTGGTTGTTTTTTTTTTTAAATACGAGCTGTGCGTCAGACTGGACTGTGTCATTTGTGAGTGCCTCACTTGATCCTCCCCCACCACCAGCTCTGCCCACACATGCTGACACTCAGCCAGAGGAGCTTTGGAGCTGGAACACAGATGGGGTGGGAGTATGGGGCCAGTGCCTGGCACAGCTCTGTGCCCATCCCACTGTCGTTTGGACTCACGTATATGCTCACTTCCCATAGGGTCTGATCCCGGTGTTGGGAGCCAGGAAGCATTTGGCAGCAGCAGAAGTTGGTGTGTTTGTGTCTTCCCTCCTCCTGGTTGGCAGGGACAGGTAAGCCAGAACAGCTCTGGGGGCAGGAGCCTTGGGAGGGGTGTGAGGGTCTCGCAGAGCAGCAGCTCCCACCAGCTTTGCCACAGCAGGCAGGGAACAGACCAAAGGTTTGCACTGCTGCCACAAGTCAGAGGTCCTGAGCTGGAAGGGCTCCTTGAGTCCAACTCCTGGCCCTGCACAGACACCCCAACAATCTCCCCCATCCCTCAGAGTGTTGTCCAAACCCTCCTGGAGCTCTGGCAGCCTTGGGGCCGTGCCCAATGCCCTGGGGAGCCTGGGCAGTGCCCAACCACCCTCTGGGGGAAGAACCTTTTGCTGAGATCCAACCTCACCCTGCCCTGACACAGCTCCAGCTGTTCCCTTGGGTCCTGTTCTCTGTGTCAGGGCTGTGACATGCCGGCAGCACAGGCACTGCAGCAAGGGGGGCTCAGGGTGCCCCAGGGGTCACCAGCCCTGCACACACAGGGCTGCAGTCCATGCCAGCTCCCTGCCATGGTGGGGGTGCCAGCCCCAGCCCCTTGCAGCCCTCTCACCCCTTCCTGGGCTGTATGGTGACCCCTGGAGCTCTGGGCAGGGGCTGGGCAGGGATGGAGGCACCAGGCCTCCAGCCAGGCCTCACTCCTGCAGCTCCAGGGAAACCCCTGGGCCACCACGGTGTCAGGAATAGCACCAGGGTGTCCCCCACCTTCCATGGGCCACTGGTGCTTTGTGCTTGTGGTGAGGGATGTGGAATGGGGCATGTTCCCATGGGGAATGGGAGGTTGGAGCCGGGACTCAGCCTGGGCAGGGTCTGCAGCCCACCTCAGGGGTCTGCAAAGTGACAGATGGTCATAGCTGGGGGAACCACAGCTGCTGCCCCCCAGCTCTGCTGCCTGTCCTGTGGCCTCAAGCAGCACCTCAGGGCTCCTGAGCTGCACAGAGGTGCCTTTGCCAGCCATCAGTCTATGGGGACCTGCAGACACGACAGGTAGAGCCTCGGGGAGCTGCACCCACCACCATGGGGAAGGGACCCCTGGCCCCAGCAGGGGTCAGGACACAGCGCTGCGGGCAATGGGGCCCGGCTGGCACTGAGCGACGTTACAGGGGAGAGGGGCACTGGTCTGACCTATCCCACCCTCAATACCTTCCAGGGCAGCAGCTGGGACCGGTGTGATGGCAGGAGGGGCCCTGCTCTGTCCCAGCCCTGGGCACACTCAACAGCCTCGTTAATGCCACACTTTCGTACTTAAAAGAATCATCGAACGGTTTGCAGTGGGAGGGACTTTAAAGACGATTCAGTCCCACCCCCTGCCATGGGCAGAGACACCTTCCACTAGACCGGGTCGCTCCAAGCCCCGTCCAACCTGGCCTTGAACACTTCCAGGGATGGGGCAGCCGCAGCTTCTCTGGGCAACCTGTGCCAGGGCCTCCCCACCCTCACATTGTGACATTTCTTCCCAATATCCCACCTCACCCTGCCCTCTGGCGCTGGGAAGCCATTCTCCCTTGTCCTGTCCCTCCAGGCCCTTGTCCCAAGTCACTCTCCAGCCACCTTGGAGCCCCTTTAGGCACTGGAAGGGGCTGTAAGGTCTCCTGGAACCTGCTCTTCTCCAGGCTCGACACCCCCAGTTCTC